GACCGAGGTGGGCAGATCACGAGGTCAGGAGATCGAGACCATCCTGGCTAACACAGTGAAACCCCGTCTCTACTAAAAATACAAAAAATTAGCCAGGCATGGTGGCGGACACCTGTAGTCCCAGCTACTCAGGAGGCTGAGGCAGGAGAATGGCGTGAACCCAGGAGGCAGAGCTTGCAGTGAGCCGAGATCGTGCCACTACACTCCAGCCTGGGCCACAGAGCGAGACTCCGTCTCAAAAAAAATGCTTAAGATAGAGCTTATAGAATATATAGAATCATCATGAGTGTTGCCACAATGTAGAAGAAAGAACTCTGGCCAGATATCTATATTCAAACAATGTCGTGTTATCTTTATAAACAAAAAGAGGGGACTGGACTGAACTAGATAGAGCTTAAGGTCATTGGACTCAACTGTTCTCTTTATTTCATCTATCATTTTTATTTATTTTACTTTTTTTGTTTTTAATTGTGGTAAAATTCACATAACATAAAATTTACCATCATAACGATTTTCAAGTGTGTTGTTCAGTAAAGTACATTTATGCTGCCATGCAACCAATCTCCAGAACTCTTCCTCTGGCAAAACTGAAACTCTATACCCATTGGTCAACACTCCCCCTTTTCCCTCTCACTTCAACCTCTGGCAATCACCCTTCTACTTTGTCTCTATTAATTTAACTACTCTAGGTACCTCATATAAGTGGAATTATACAGTATTTATTTTTTTGTGACTGGTTTATTTCATTTAGCATAATGTCCTCAAGGCTGATACATGTTGGTGAATGTCTCAGAATTTTCTTCCTTTTTAAGGCTGAATAATATTCCATTTCATGTGGGTTTTTTTTTTTTTTTTTGTAGAGCAGGGTCTTGCTGTTGCTCAGGCTGGTCCTGGCCTCAAGCGATCCTACCAACTTGGCCTCCCAAACTGTTGGGATTACAGGCGTGAGCCACTGTGCCTGGCTTCCATATACGCATATATTCATTTTGTTTATCCATTTCTCTATCATCTATGGACATGTGGCTTGCTTCCATCTCTTGTCTACTGTACATGGCTGCTATGAGCATGGCTGTACAAATATTTCTTTTTGAGACTGGGCTTTCAATTCTTTCAGACCTACATACCCAGAAACCTACTAATCATTTTTTAAATATAACTAAAACAAGAAATTAAAATTAAACATCTTACCATGGCCTTCCTTTCCGTACGCAAATGAAGGGGGTATAACTACTTTTCGCTTTTCTCCAGGGCACATGTCCATCATAGCAATGTCTAGGCCTTTTATCACTTGCCCAACACCAAGAACAAACCATTTGGGGTGGCCTTCATTTTGTGTCCGGCTATAATAAAAAACAATACTTAAGTAAACTGATTTCAAGAAATCAAACTTGAAAATACAGCTGGGCATTTAAAATTGGAGTCCTCTCTAACCATCATTCCTGTATAAGCACTCTTTCTAAAACCCCTAACGGGGTGTTTGACTCAAACTTCCCTATAATCACCAGAAAGAAGTATGATTTGCCCAAAGCTAATCATTAAGAGCCATCTCATTTTTAAAAATTGTTATCTTTACAAAACCTATTCAACAGTTAACTTTTTAATGGGTCTCCAGCCCCTAACTAGCTGCATGGCTTGTACAAAGAACTCATTTAACTCCCCTGTGTGTGTTGTAAAAAATGATGAGGCAGGTTTAGCCTCAAAAAGTCATTTTAAAAGTAATTTAAAATGGTATATTTTCTTATTAAATTCTAGTAATATAGTCTATATTCTTATTAAATCCTAATATAATATTAAATTTAAAAACTGTATAAATTCTTATTAAATTTCTCTATTTTATTCTAAATGGATGGAACTATCTTACCCAGTCCTATCTTTACAGGATGAAGAAAAGATTCTCCCTCTGAGTAATAAGCCATCAATTAAATCAGAGTAGGCACCAGGTGGAATGGGGGAGCAGGGCCCACCAGAAGTCACCAGGGAAGTAATGGTTTTTCTTGATAGAAAGTGGCCACAACCTATAAAAATCGTGCTTCTGAAGGCCAGAGTTAAATCTCGTTATTCCATGTATTCCTCCGTAAAGACTCAATACTTCCGGCAAGGGAAAAATGTGAACATCCTTACAGGCAGAACCTTGATTTAATTCTGGAGGTCCCAGAATTAAAGGTAATGGTAGTGGTTGGTGTGTGTGTGGATGTACTGTATTTTCGATAATTTATTGGACCAACATTTTCAATACTTTAAATAGAAATATTCAGTTTATTAGAGAACCACACACATATATATTATATATATATATTTAATGAATAAAGGGCTCAACTTTTACTGTTAAAAAATAAAACCCCAACCAACCAACCAACCAACCAACCAACCAACCAACCAACCAACCAACCAGTAAGGCTTACGCTTGGTGGAGGCAGGCAAGATTTTGTGCAACTGGACGCGTGGGCAGCTCGCAGCATTTCCTACCTGCAGTAGAATTTCGACCCGTCTTTAGCCAGGTAGCCGTCATAATGGGCATTTAGTAGGTCTCCCTTCTTGCTTGTCTTAGAGCAGTTTTCTGGACGATGCAAAACTTCTATTTTCACTTCTTCGGTGCTCTCCTCTTTCTTTTGTCTCTGAGCAGTAAAAAGGCCCCATAGATAAAAGAAAACAATGAATCTGAATAAGAAATGCATGGTTTCTGGCATCGGCTCCAGCAGAACAGCGCTCTCCCTCCCGCGTGTCACTCGCGCCCCTTGGATGCCCCGCGCCGAGTTCCGACGCGTGGCAGGCGTTGTACACTGTCACAAAGGGCCGGGGCTGGGCCATAGACGCGGCCCTGCCCTCTCACAGGCCCAACCCCTCCTCCTCGGGCAGCTGGCTCAGCGCGGTTAACGCTGTTTCTAGGCCCCGGGGCTGGCTGTTCTCAGTCTCTAAGATTGCACCGCACACTCGCTCTGCTTCTCGCTAAACCCGCATATTTTACAGCCGGTTTCCTCAGGGTTCGGTGACAACATTGGCATTTCTAAAATGGAACTGGCATAAGACGAAATAAACAGCCAGGGATGTCGTAGAGTCAGGGAATATGGTTGTCATTTGTGGAAGCAAAAGACTTCTAAGACCCCTACGGAACGAGCAGATAGATACTGGGGGGAGGAAGAAGCATGCTGGAAAAGGAGCGTAAAAAATAGGCTGGCGGTGGCTTCCTGGGTGCTTCTGGGGTGTCCTTGAAGCGAATCCTCAGGTCGGAGTCTTGCATTCAGAAGTTCCAGGCTGAGTCGCACAACCTGAAGGCCAGCCCGACGCGAAGAAACTGCGGTGCAGCAGCTCCTCCGCCTGGCTGCAGGCATTTCCGAGAGCCGACCTCCAGGATTCAGCGACCGCCGCTGGCTTGCATTTCTTTCCCCCTCCACTAGGGGCCGCCCTTGATTCGAGGGCCTCTGGTAGTGCGGGGAATGGTCTTTTGACTTTTTTGTACCAATCCCATGGGATACGTAATTTTCCACATCAGTCAAGAAAACTTGAGTATTGGGCATTTTTTCCTAATCTCACAGCTAATACGCAGCCAGGTTTTTGGTCAAATCTGTGTGACCACACCTCCCCACCACCAATTTTAGTATGAAAACCTTTAAAATACAGAGAAAAGTTGAATTTTACAGTAAACACTCGTACACCCACCGCCTAGATCCTGTCATTAAATTATATTTATTATATATCCATCCATCACTCTTTCCTCCATCAATTCGCCTTGTTTCCGAGTGAATACCTAAAGACTATCCAAACCAGAAAACCAGCAAAGGCCTTTTGCATTCGCCTGGATTAAGTTCTGGGAGTGGAGGTGCTATTCCACCTGTGTGATGCGAAGAAAAGCCGCAGCACTGAGCCCGATTGATGTGCTTTGCTTAAAGTTTGCAAAATTCCATAAACCTGAAAATTACTGTCGATTATGCAAGATGACGATTGCGTCCAAGCAGGAGTTTCAAAAATCATAAAAGCTAGGGGGAAGTCCTCCTTTCTAGAATAAAATTCCAAAGTCAAGTTCAATGTTTTATATTCTAAATAAAATTGTGGCTATCCAAGGTTAATTATCGGCGTGATGACAGTTCCTTGGGGGGCCCTCGCCATTCCTTGTCAGAGGACCCCGTCTGTTGCACTTTGCCTTCATAGGAGATAATTTCAGACCCCTTGAATATGAGGAAAATACGAAGCAAACAGAAATAGGAAGGCTTTTATTTATTTTTTCAGAAAAAAAAAAAAAAAAAAAAAACCAAACCAGGAAAACCTGAGAGAACTAAGTGCCCGAGGGATGAGTGTGTGGGGAGCTCCTCCTCGGGTGGGCACCGGGGCTGCGCGCGCAGTGGAGCCCGAAGGCCTCGGCCCC